GGCAAAGGCCTATCTTCTCCAATTTTATAGATAGGCATCCACATGCTTAGTGTGACAGTGTGCATGTCCAGACCAAAACTTAAGCCCGTGAAGAACTGCAAAAGGTTAGGCTCTGGGTAAGTTCAGGCACCTGAAGAATTAGTTAACACCTGAATAAGGGTTTTGTGGAGTGCATTTGTCCCTGAAATCCTCTTTATGCATAAGTACCTTTGTAGATCTGGGTTGTACTGTTTGAAAGGATTTGCTGTCAAATTTAAAATAATTTTAAACTAGTAAATGTACAGTGTTCTGAGAGGGGTGTGTGTGTGTGTGTGTGTGTGTGTGTGTGTGTGTGTGTGTATGTGTGCTGACAAATAATGTATACTTGCTTCTTTAAAAGGGCTAATTTACTGATGTTGAAATTGTTGTGTATATTTTCCCTCCCAATTGATGTGAATGATGACTGGGAGTTTTGTATCTGCTCCCAAAAGAGTGCAGCAATCACAACAGACTTTGTTGGTTTTCAAAACCAACAACTTGGTTAAGAATGGTAAACAGCAATGCAGAATGAAAATATACAACACATTAAAAAGGGAATGCTGACAGCAATGGCTATAAACTAGCAGTCATTAAATGCAGGCAATTGCTGAGGGAAGCTAAATACATCAATAAAAATATGACCAGTAGAGTTAAAGACAACAAGGCATTTTTGAAATGAGGCGCAAAAGAAATTCTAGCCATGTTTTAATATTTTATTAGATAATAATGGTAAAATTGTCAATAATGATACAGAAGGAAAGTAGATGAGTTAAGCAGATATTTCTGTTTGGTATTGGGGAAGAAACTGGAAGACTGGTGCTGCTATAAAACAGGCTATTTCTTAATTATCTATTTTCTAGACATGAATAAAAAATAACGTTCAAGTGAAAGGATATTGTTTTTCTTTACACTCTAAATATTTTTTTAAAAGAATTCCTGTAGAATTCCTTTCAAATTTGGGGGTTTAGCTAAAAATGTAGTCAGGGCCTCTTATAAAATAGCGTAAAGATTTTCACTTTTACAACAAAAGAGTGGATGGAATAAATAAAATATTTATAGGAAAAATTGCATTAATCTCTGACTATAGTCCAATGAGCTAATTATGCTGAGATATTGGGCAAATCATACCAAAAGAGTGTTTTGGATTTCAGTTCATGCTTGTAGAGAGCTCTGAGACTGGCAGATGAAAAGTTTAAATGTATTTTTGTTATGCCTTGTGTACACTTATTTTGGCAAAGGGCATATGTTGATAGGCATTGGATCATGGTTACTTACGTAAAAATTTGATTTTAAGAAAAAGCTGATCAAAGCTGTCTGGCAAGCTAGATAGCTAGTTTCTGGGCTGTCATCTGAAAAATTTTATTACAGTTTTGTTTAATAAGATACATTTTTCTCCTTCTTTGATCATACCTGTATGAAAGTTAGATGGCTCCTAAATGAGACAGGAACAGTTGCATCTGTGTGTATTGCTGTCAGTGTTCAGACTTCGCACTCTCTTGTATTGGGTTGTGAGGTCAGCCATTTTTATTGCCAGACTAGCTGCTGGCATTCACATTGCCCATTTATAGTACAAAGTAAACGGAGCTGTCTGTCCTCTGGTATTCCCATACATAGTGAATGATCTCACTGCAGACTCAGCCATCCCATGCTTTCTAGAGAACAGGAGGTGCTTTCCATAAAAAGTATTGTCAGGAAATCTGATTTATTCTTTCCATTTGTATTTTTCTAATACAATTGGTTGGTTCTTGTGTTACATGTTTCAAGAAAGCAAAACTGATATTGCAGCCTTGGTATAGTAACATTACAATATATTGGTAGGTGAGATTTAAAAGTACCAAAAAAAGTTATCAGAATTGCCTGCCATGTTATCAGAATTTCCTGCCATGTACATGCATTTATGGCATGTTGGCCTGCTAGTTTTGAAGTGGTGTGTCTGATAAATTTGATGTTGACATTAGCTATAAGACAATATGTATTCCCTGAAATCTTACTGCAGAGCTTAAGGATAAGTTAATTCGTAAAGCTGAATTAATGTTCCAAAGTATGTTAGAAGTTGGATGATTTTAAGTTGTCTCTTCCTTTAATGTTCTTAGTGATCAAAACGTCTAATTCAGCAATTTTACTCTGATGCTAGATTTGACTCTTAAAAAGTTTCTATGTCTGAGGATAATTCTAGTTTGTTTGGTGTCCAGTCCTTCTATATGGCTAAATATCTGAGTTATGTGCTCTTTAACTCTAAAAAGAAATAGTGATGTTATAAAATTTATGTTTATATGCTGATCATAGATGTGTAAAATATTTTAGGTTTTAAAAAAATATATAGTTAAGTTAGTGTCTAGTAACTTTGACAGAAAACCTATGAACAAATTGTGCATCAGACTTTTCTGATGGATTTCTTAGGAAAGAGAGAAGTATCCTAAGTTTACCATTCAGCTCTATAACACTGTTTGATCTGTTTCTGCTAAGTGACTGGCAATAGGGATTAAGACTGGGGATGGAGAGTCTTCAGGGAAAATAGCACTTTTCTTTTGGAATGCAAACTACATTCCCACTTACTGAAATTAAAGAGCTCTTTATATCTGAGGCTGCTTCTACTGGCCCCTGGAAGACCTTATTTTTAATTGTTCTGTTTACTTTAATTAGAATTTGAGATTGTTTTGCAGCAATTGCAGAAGATTTAGAATCCTTTAAAATGATACTGAATCTTGACATCAAGTTACATTTTTAAAAATGTATAGGAGTTTTGGGTATTATGGTAGTCAGAGCCCACCTACCAATTCATGTGGCTTTTCAAGCATACTTATTTAGTTTTTAAATGTTTTCTCCCTTGTTGTTGGGAAATAGGAAGACTGACAGTATAGGAGGCACAGAGAAACTGACAATGCACAAAATAGAATCAAAAGAGGGGGAAATGGACAATATTTTTCCTAGCCTCTTGTGTATAATAATTTTGGTTGTACAGTACTTGTAATAATTTTATGGGCTTTTAATCTACTCTTGCCGGCATTCTTTTAAATCTACTGTATTGCTAAAACAACAATTCCTGCACCTCTTCCACCTGATACAGCGGGTTTAAGGAGTCACAACTGATCTAAAATTATAAATGCCAATCTATAGTTCATGTAGAACTGTATGCTACTCCCAATAAGTTCTGATCCTTACCTCATGATCTATGTACCTGTGCATGTTCCTAGCAAAATCCTCTTCTCTGTTGCATGTATAGATGGGCATGACTAAAACAGTTGCTCAAACACTCCCAAAATGTGGATGAGTTGAAAAGATCTGAAGCTTGTGCCTAGAGTCCATCATTCATTCTTTCTCTGTAAATATAATATAGTACGGTATGGGGAAAGAAGCCCTCAGGAAAGGAAAGGTGGCTGAGGTTGTTTTAAAAGCATTCTTATGGCTAGCTAAGTGAAACTAAGAATGCTGCTCTTGTGGGTGTATCATCAAATTGTATGTTCTTTTTGCAAGTCTAAACAAAGGGTTTTTTTGGTGGTGGTTTGAGACCAGGAAGAAAAGCTCAGTTTTATAGTCCTGGGGAATTCTGCAACTTGTTTCACTTGAAGCATAGTAAAATTGCAGAAATCTCCCAGGACTGTTATCTGAAAATCAAGGTGTGGGTTTTTTAAAATTCAGAACAGAGCTGATTCCTTTTGTGCATGTGAAAGAGAATAACAACATCTCTCCCTCTTGCTAAATAGTGCTACTGAATAAAAACCTGTAGCCTCATCTTCACCTCTGGCTGCATTGAATTGGAATTTAATGGGAGTTTGGTAATTTTGTGTTCCTCATTGAGGAAGGGTCCGTAATTTGCATATGGTGAGATCTAGTGAAAAACGTATTATAGGATCGACCTCTATAGCCTGAACTTCCTTAGTCTGGCAACCTCTGTGGTACATTATCTCCATGGGTGCTCTGTGGCTGGAGCACTCATGGGGAAAAGCCAGGCCTTGTTCTTAGCAACTCCTCCCTCTCCAGTCCTCCCAGAGCTTACTTGCAATGATCAAGCTCAGGGAGGGAGGGAGAGGAGCAGGCATGGGTATGGGTATGGGTATGGTCACGGGAAGAGACAGCAGTGCAGTCCTGCAGCTAGCAGTGGGGGCTGGGAGTACAGACCAGCTGCGGAAGGGCTGAACTCAGGACTCTGCATCCACTCTGCCTCTTCCCCAGAGCACCCCTCTTGTCCCCACTTCGGACCCCGCTCACTCAGTCTTGCTCCATCTGCTGCTATTAGAGCAGAGCACTGCAGCCAGTGGCAGCAGGAGGAGGGAGTATGGGCGTTGACTGCCCCTGGTCTGGAAGATGTCCTTGTTAGGGACTGGTCAGGACTTAAGGGTGCTAGACGAGGGAGGTACATCCTGTATTCTGGCATATGACATACTCCGAATAAGTGACTGGGGAGCACCAAGTCAGGTGTGATGATGGAGTATACAAATAGTTTCTACTATAGGGTCTTTTTACCTCATTTTTACAGCGATGCCATTTATTGGACTTCTGTGTACACCTTCTAAATTGGAGGATGTAGCAGAAATACCTCTATGGAGCAGCCCAGCTACGCTTGCCAAACTTTTCCTTTTGCTGGAAAGATTATTCAAGTGGGCAACAGAATAGAATTTGTAATAAAAAAGCCAGAATTACTAACACTCAGTCCAATGAAAGTTAATCAATCAAGATCAAATATGCTACTCAAAGTGTATTAGAAATGTCAGAGAAATGCAAAACTAAAGAAGGAAGTGGAAGAGATATTTAATCTGTAATTCTCTTCCAAATTATCATATTCTTGGGAACACAGGCTTGGGCTGTTTTTATTTTTCCTGAGCTAGTATGTGTACTTCTAACTTAATAAAAAAGTTGAAATTGCAAAGTATCAATTGAGAGGTTAGGGGAGGAATTCTTCATCTTCAAGTGTTACAAAAGGGTAAGAATAGTAGGATAATTATGAAATGTTATTTGTAGAGTGACATAATGTTTTCTTCCAGATTATAAAAGCACTTAAGGGACTGCAGGATTTGGATATTTCACTGGACATTCTAGTGGTAAGTAACAAACTGTCCTTAAAGCTTTCATCTATGAGCTGATCGATGGCATATTCAGTAGTTTGCAACCATAGAAGCCAAGAAAGTTCCTTCACTATGCAATTCTGAATCCTAATCCCAATTTTAAATATAAAAAGTTACATGGGTCTATGGAGTCTTTTTCCAAAGTCACCAAAAGGCTTGTTGCCATGTCTGGTAATTAAGGCAGCATGGCATATAGTGACACTATTGGGCTCTTGCACTGAACATCCAGAGAGCAGAATCCCATGCTGGCTGGGTTTTGCTCCAAGTGTAATGACCTTTGTGTAAATATGATGGACTAGGTTTTTCCTGCAGACACACTTCTATTTTGTATTTGTGTGCTGGTGCTTTGATTCTATACCAAGGTGAAACAAACATGAGCAATTTATATTTTAGATCAGTTATTACTCTTCCATTCCTCCAAGGTGCACACAATCCCTTTTTAACTGTGATTCTGCAGTTAAAACAAGCATCTTAGTAGTCATATGTTAATGATGCTCTTGGTTCTGCTAGTAGGAATGTTAAAATGTGGTTAATTTACTAATGGAGTAACCAATAACATTTTTATCAAGTACTCAGTCGATAGAGGAAGGCAACCTGGCTCAGTCCCGGCTCGTACCACATTCAGGACGCCCCCTGCTGTGGTTCTGCACTTTAAATGTAGTAAGCTGGAATAGGCCAAGAGGTGGCTTAAAATCCAGCTTCCAGTGTGCACTGGCTTCCAGAGAGCCAGCTGCTGCCCCATGCTGTAGGCTGTGTAGTACAAAGCTTGTACTGCAGAGCCTGCAGCACAACCAGCTCCCCAGGATTGGGGTTGAGAGCTGGCTCTCGGCACACACTGGCTGCTGGCCTTGCTACTGGCGAGCTGGCTGTGCTGTGAGTTCTGCAGTGTAAACTTCATACTGCAAAGCTCACAGCATATAATTGCTAAGATTTTCATCAGTTACATGGTTAGCTATCAGAGGGGTAGCGGTGTGAGTCTAGATCTGCAAAAGCGACAAGGAAACTTGCCTCTGGAAATTTATACGTGCCTCTGGAAATTTCCACTACATGCATTTGACGAAGTGGGTCTTTGCCCACGAAAGCTTAAGCTCCAATACATCTTCGTGTATAAGGTGCCACAGGACTCCTTGTTGCTTATGGTCAACCAATTAACCATTTTTTAATATCCCTACTGGCTACCCAGAAGACAAAATACAGCTCCTCTAGAGCAATCCAGCCCTAGGCTCCCACCCAGACTAGGGATGTTAGAAATGGGTTATTTTAATAACTGTAACCACTAAAATTCTTAGTGGTTACATGGTTACTTGGTGCCCCTCTGTGAGGTGAGCCTGGCAGCCAATGTTCACCTGGTTCTATTCCTGGGGAGCCCCAGCCAACCCATGCTGCAGGTGACTCCTATGTGTGCTCTTCATTTAGAACTCAGACTAATGGGATGGGAGTGAGCCAGCCTGCTAGTCTGAGTTTTAAATGCAGAGCATGTGGAGGGTGTGGGAGATGGTGTTGCAGTTAACTGGTATCATAACTGCCAAGCAACTGATTATTGGTTAATTGGTTACTCAGGTAACTATTAACATCCCTAACCCAGACAGACAAGTTGAACATAAGGATTACTGAAAATCTTAGTCACTATGTATAAAGTTTTTACCAACTTAGAGATTGGGCACATTACCTATGAGGTCAGTGAATATTTCAAATCTTACCCAAATACACGCTTACTAGTCAGTTCCTACTAACTCATCTAATTTTTTTTTAAAGAAAAGAACTAGTATGAATAACATTCTCAAGTCCGTTTCAAAGCAGAGATGGTGAGCTTCTGAATTGTAAAGAGTTCTTCAAAATCAGTTCAATTGCTTATTGTCTAATAATGCTGTTGTTTCATGAGAAATAGCAGGGTAATTCAGAATAAAGCTAGAGACCTCATTCTTATGACTTAAACATTCCCTGCCAAAGTTCAAGCAGATGTGAAATGAACAACTCAGGTCCCCAAAGTTCCTTCATTGCTGAAGCTGACAGCAGACATTCCTGGGATGGTGAATAGGTAATGTGCATTGTTACTTTTTGGAGACAAATCATATTTCTTTTGTATACAGAGGTAATTAGTTGCCTTGAGCATGCAATCTTTGAATTTTATAGTAAGTTAAGACAATGGTATTATTATTACACTATACTTATCTATTGCTAATATTTCCTTTTGGTTTCTAAATCAGTAGACTATAGTAACAGAAAGGATGAATAGAAGTGGGTCATCTGCCAGCTAATAAAAACACATTGTGAAGTTTCTAACAGCTGTAGGTAAATACAGACAAATATAATTAGTATTTATTTGTAATTTACTATACAATTTACTATACAGACTTGCATTTTAAAGGATTTACTCTACTTATATGGGTTTGATAAGTCTACAAGAAATGGCCTTTTTTTAGCATTTTTGTAATTCCCTAGTATGTTCTTAAAGATTGTTCTTTAGATAGCTTAGCTTGCTAAGTTTAACGCTTTCCTGTTCGGTGTCACAAGGACCATTTTAGTGTTTGTGTAGGTGTTTAAAAAGAGAGCGAAATATAACCAAATATGAATAGATATGCTCTCCTGATGCAAATTCACTCCAATATTGTGGGCTCCCAACCATAAGCTCTTCAGGACAAGGACAATTTATGTGTTGCAAACACAATGGTGAACTGGTATTTGGGCCTCAGTCATAGCACTATTGCAATATGAATAAGAAGTTCATTTTTTGGGGGGGTCTCAGTAAAATTGAGCAGTCTAGTATCTAAGGGTCAATGTACATGGGCAAAAAGGTATAGGTTTTTTGAGTTGGAATAGCTCAGTCAAATTAGTTCATTTCTAGTAAAACATCATATTTTACACATCTTAATGCCTGTGTGGTTAAAGTTAGGCTACAGCACAACCAATTGAAGTGATCTTAAAGCTGCTAAATTCTGTCTACATGATTAAAATCTCATTTAATGCTCAAGCTGATTTAATCAAATTGAGAGATGACTTTTGTGTCTATGTAAACAGGGTTCACATCTTCAACCTGAGTGAACTGCCAGAAGTATGCTCCTAAATGAAGAGTAACTTAATTTCTCATAAGTTTCATAAAACTAAATCATAGAAGGAAATGCACATTGCACATAGATAGTACCTTGGGTTATAAATATGTGGTTTTACTTTGGCTCCTTTGACATATTTGTTTCTCTTATAAAAATTGTTTTTATAATCTGATTGGTCAAAGGATTTTTCTAGCTATGACTTATTGCTGTGTGAATTGAATTAGTTAGAAGTCAAAGTATATTCATAATGTTAGTCACATGTTTCTATCCTTCTTGCACTGTCTTCAATAGGAAACTGGAATAGGAAAAACAGTTAACAGTTTTAGGAAACATGCTACTGCTGGGAATATAGCTAAATCTCTGGTAAACCACTGGAAAAAACTTATTCCACCAGAAAATGAAAGGTAAGTAACAGTCTAATTTTTATTTTGAGATAAATTGTTGTTCAGTATAATGTTTTCAGTTCAGACTGTTTTGATACCGTAAAATTAGCATGGTAAAGTTAAAACCGATAAGACAAGTCAATATTTTGGAAATAGAGTAGCTGGAATGAAAGACTAGTTTGTGACTCTTGTTTGGTAAAATATTGCCAAACATTCTGTTGGTCTTGTTGGTCAAATAATTATTTGACCAACTGTTAACAAACAGGCCAAGCCTCTGCCCCTGAATTAAGGCAGGACTAATAAATTGCTATCATCTAATTCTTCAAGGAAGTTGCATGTACAGGTCAGAAAGGAAGCTTGTGTGGGGGAAACTTAGTTAAATGTTGTGCCTTTCTCATCACATCTCCATGATTTCTTTTCTATTACCTTGCTACTTCCAAGAGAGAGAGAGGAGGAATTTCACCCCTTTAAGCTTATTAACATTATATGAAATAGTCCTCAAGAAGAACCAAAAAAAAGTGTGTGTGTGTGTGTCTACAAGTTAATGTATCTCAGGGGTATCCCTGATTCTTATTGGTTCTGACTTCAGTGACATTTACTACAAACCTGTCTCCTGAGTACTGTGATGCTGTAATAGTTTCATGATTTACTTATAAAGGCTTCTACATAATTCTCCCTTTGTTTCCTGACTTTTGATTCTCACTTGTGTAAAGAGCAAATCATAATGGTCAAACTGGGTTAGATCAATGGTCCATTACCCCACTATCAACAGTGGGAGTTGAGGCTGCAAAGGGAATGAAATAAAAAAAAGTTGAGTGATCCATCCCCTGTTGACCAGTCCCAGCATCTTGGAGTCAGGCTTTGGGAATTGGGGTTGAATTCCTGAACATCTTGACTAATAGGTTCATCAATGGCTATCTTCTGTAAACTTAGCTAATTATTTTTTGAATCCCGTTCGGCCTTCACAACATCTGGCAATGTGTCCCACAGGTTGCCTGTGTTGTTGGTTTAGTATTTCCTTTGGCTTGTTTTAAACCTGCTATATATGTATTCATTGGGTGACCCCGGGTTCTTGGGCTACTTATCCCTTCACATAACACTTGTTCACTTGCTCTACTACACCATTCATGATTTGTATAGATCTCTCTCATATTTCCTCCTTAGTCATTTCTTTTCCAAGCTGAAATTCCAAGACCATTTTTTAAATTTTTTTGTATATTAAAGCTGTTTTTCCCAAAGGCTCCCCAGTTCTTAATAAGCCTAAAGCCCTGCTCTTTACAATGATGTCTCATTCACTTATTGTGACCCTGAAGCTTTGTCTAACTGGCCCTGCACAGGGAACTAGAAGCATTTCAGAGGATGCAATCATGGAGGTCCTTGATCTTGATCTCTATCTAGCAGCCTAAATTTCTCCTCCAGGACTTCTCTTCTACCTTTTCCTGTGTTGTTGGTACCTACATATATCATGAGTACGAGCCACTCCCCAGAATTGCTCATATATCCAGCCCTACCAAAGTTACAGCTGTGAAAAATCTGTAACATCCCTAACATCTGGCTATTGCAGGGAGATGGTACTGCCTTCAGACTTGAACAGCCAAAGATCAGTGGCTGCTGGCAGTTGTCACTTTTTGGGGGGAGAGGTAGAGCCAGCCTTACCTGTGGGTGACTGCCCAGGGCACTATGATCAGAGGGAGTGCTGTGTTCCACCCCAACATATAGATGCAACCAACCTAAGGCCCCTTTAGTCTCCCAAGCACTGGGGAGGGGCAGGGCTGAGGGCACGATGGTGCTACGTCAGACCTAGCTATAGTGGTGGCATGGCAGTTGACAGTGTGCTTCTCTGTACTGCTCTGCCTTCCCAAACCGCCAGCCTGGCCATGTCCACACTCCACCCCCAGAGTGTCTACTGTCGGTATTCTGGGGGTGAAGTGTTGCTGCCCTCAGTGCCTGGCTTCCTTGTGTTCCTGGCCGGGGAGGCTGGAACCACCTCCTCCCCTCCCCTAGTGCTCTAGGAGACGTGCTGTGTGCATGCTCCCCTTCCCTTTCTCCCTCTCCTCGATGCTTTGGGGAGCACTCAGCATGCTGCCCCGCCTCCTTCCCAGTGGGGGGGGGCCCTCATTAGAGGGGTTGGGGCTGTAAGTGGGGCTGAGATCCTGTCTCTCCCAGCCCTAGCTGTACCAACTGCCCATGCTTCTCCTGATCATCACAAACCCAGCTATCTGTATTTCTTATATCTGCATTACTATTGCCTGTCTCTTCCTAATAACGAGCATCCCCTCCCCTGGAGAAATAACCTCTGTGCAAGAGGATGCCTTGACATCATTTGGCAGGATCATGTCAGTTATGGGATCATTTCCCTCTACTCCAGTTTGATGTTCTTCCCTGAGACTTTCAGCCTCCTCAGCAGCACAAAGACTGTCAGATGGGGCATGGGACCACACTACTGTGTGTCCAAAAGTCTCATCTGTCTTTTAGCTCCTCCAGTTCAGCCACTCTGGTCTCAAGCCCTTACACTCTCTAAGCCTATGAGCTCTTTGGACTGAATTTACATGTAGGCAGGTGGCTCATAGGCAGGTAGACACATGCTCATTCAGTGCAATGAAGTGGAGATCTCCCATTCTGTGGCTGAACTTCTGCCTGCATTCTTTTTATTTTTGCAGCTTTTTTTGGTGGGAGGAGTGGGGGGGGGGAAGAGCTAGGTAGGATGTTGATTGACCTAAATTTAGACAGTGGTGCACCTGGGTGTCTCACTCCTGCACAAAACTCCCATTTGCTGCTCTTGTTCAGTAGTGTCTTGTGGTACTTTAGGAGCTGCCTTTTTAAAGGCCTGTGTGCTACTCTTAGTAGCCCCATCCCATGGTAAGTGATTAATGATGCCTAAAGTGATTAGGGATGAAATCCTCATTAAGAAGGTCTCAGCCTTGCTGAATAGGCTACACAGTCTTCCTGCACTTCTCCTACTCGCAACACTATATACTATAGTCAAGCAGACATTAGACCACTCACCCGAAGGGTCATGTAGTTAGGTCTCCTTCACCTGGATAACACTCTTGTAAATTCCTGTTTGCTGGTCCTGTTCACTAGCTTCATGGAGTAGAGGTAATTTCCATCTCCTTGATACAGCCACTGCTGCCCCCATCAGGCCAGATATGTTCCTTTACAGCTCTATACCTGATATTTTTGAGACGGAGATGGGCTGGTGGCTTCAGTCTGAAGGTCCGAGTGGATCTGGGGTTAGATAGCTCAGGTAGGGTGGAGAAGGTACTCTGTTTGTTTTGCTACGGGAAAAATCCGAGTTAGATTATTAGTTGAACTAAAACAATTTTTTAAACTTAAATTTCTGTTTTAAAAAAAAAACCGCACCATTTAAGTACAAATCAACAGCCCAGACTCTGGGATGAATTTAGCATATAATGAAATAGGTAATAAATGTTTGGCTGCTGTTCCCCTCTGGAAGGAAGTACACTGAGGAAATAATTGTGACTGGTATGCTCTCATTTTCTAGTGGCAGCTGGTCTGTCATAAAATGGTTTAGGGCGGCCACCTCAGACCCTGCGCTTTGGAGGGCCCTGCGGCAGCCCCCTCAACTGTCCCATGGACAGGTTCTGCAGGGCCCAGAGCAGCCTGAGGGATTACCAGGAGGCCTGACTCAGTGCAGCAGCAGAAGGGGTGCTCCCCTCTTCTCCCTCACTCCCCCACTCACCATGGCGGTGGGAGTCAGAGCAATCCAGCAGCCTGCTCCACTCCCTGCACATCTCCCCGTGATGAAGCAGAGTAGGTTGCTGGGTCACTCCAGCTCCTGTCGCTGTGGTGAGTTTGGGGGGGGGGTCACTCTGCTGTCACCCTGTGCCAGGCCCCCCAGAACTAGCTTGGCTTGTTGCTTGAGAAAGAGGGCTTAAGGTAAATGGGGAAGGGGTGAGAAGCAGGGTGGGAGTAGAGAAATGTTGTGATTAAGGGAAAGGGTGCCTGCTCAGGGGTCTGCTCCAGGCCCTGCGCCACCCCAAGGAAAGCCTTAGCAGCCATTGGTTGGATCCATTCTGCTTCATTGGGGTCTGTGCTAATGTGGAAGAGTTACAGCAGCACTATAGGAGTTCTGGTACTTTTTGCAAAGCATGCTTTTAGGGGAGATCTGCTACTGTGGGGGTAAGCAGAGATGTTGTGTTCAGCCATTTGCTGAAAGCTACTGCTCCTGGAGTGTCAGCCTATAGGGGCTGAGCAATTGTGGGGTGCCTTTCGATAGGATTTACTGTAGCTGCTGGAATGGTAAGTGAAAGGACAAGAGAGAAAACCCTGGTGTATCGAGGATACTTAATGGATTGAATGGAAAGTTTCCTATTAAACACCTGACCTGCTAGGCCCTAAAAAGAGTGGGTACTCCTTTCCAAACAACAGTGCAATTCTAAGCAGAAGTTAGACACAGTTCAGAAAGCTTTCATGCCGCCCTGTCTCTGGTATTGCTTGCCCTGTTGATTGGAAAATAGGCACACAAATTTCTAAAGGTGCATTTACTATAACTCTAAAGGCAAATGTTGTTTTTTCCAACCTTGTATTTTTTTATAGGGTCACTTCTTTAGGACCGTTAAGTGGACTTTAAACTTGCACTGTCTATTGTCTGCTTCCAGGGACTTCATATAATGTTTCAAGTTCAACACTTGTGTTTGTGAAAATTCTACAGTGCAGAAAACCAAATTTATTCTGTTGCCCTTTTTTGACTTGAGCAGCTAACTAAAGTTTGGCCCTGGAGAGATTCCAGCTAGAAGTAGAAATTGATAGTCTGGTATTCTCTTGGCAATCTTTTTGTTTACATGCCTTTTAAATAAAGTCTTGTGTCTCTGAATGTAGAAGGACCCGAGAACAAAAGGAGCAGTATTTGCTGCTTATAGTCTGGTAGCACTTTAAAGACTAACAAAACATGTTGATGGTATCATGAGCTTTCATGGGCACAGCCCACTTCAGATGATGGGAGTGTCCAGAACCAAGAATAAATAAGGGGGGTAGGCGGTAGAGGACATTGGGTAGATAAGTTTCAAAGGTATAGCCAGTCTGTAACAGGAAAAACTTAAACAACCAATAGTCTATTAGCACCTTGAAGACTTAATAGTTAAGAGGCTAATAACCGTTAGTTTGCACTAGGAAAGTAAGAGTACTTAAACCAGATTCTACATTGACATCCAGACCATTGGCAACTTCATTGGTTGGTTGATAATGTGCGAGCCATCCGATATCACAATTTAGACCATTTGCACGAGAGTTAAACTTGAGAATAAAGTGGAGTTCCAATCCTTCTCTGTGTATTTGGCTTGTGGAATTGGTCTGAAACAAAACAGCAACTTGTAGATCCCTTAATGAGTGTCCAAGGAGGCTAGTGTTCCCCAACAGGTTCTTGTGTGTTGCCTTTTCGGATATCTGATTTGTCCATTAATTCTTTCCCATTGGAACTGTCCAGTTTGTCCAATATACATTGCAGTGGGGAATTGCTGACATTTGATGGCATAGATAACATTACTGGATATGCAGTTAAATGAACTTCTGATTTGGTGGCTGATGTAATTGGGTCCAGTGATAAGGCTTTTATAGATGTGTGGGCAGAGTTAGCACTGGGGTTGATTGCAGGGGTTGGTTCCTGGATGCTTATGATGTAGCTGTGCACTGGGGGGGGGGGGGGGGGGGGGGTTGTCTGTAAGCGAGAATAGGCCTTTTCCCCCAAAGCCTCTGAGAGTGAGGGGTCCTTTTTCAAGATAGGTTGTAGATCATGGATAATGCATTCAAGGGGTTTAAGTTGTGGACTGTAGGTAATGACAAATAGAATTGTTCTCTTTTGGGTCTGTCTTGAAGTAGTTCCAGAAATTAACTTTGTACTTTTTTGGCTCTGTCAATCTGTTTTTTTCACTTCACCAGGTGGGTATTTCAGTTTTAGGAATGCTCTATGTAGATCCTGTAAGTGTTTGTCTCTGTCTGTGGGATCGGAGCAAATCAGGTTGCATCTTCGGGCATGGCTGTATACAATAGATTGAGAAATGTGTCTGGGATGGAAGCTTAGAGGCATGCAAGTAAGTGTAATGGTCGGTAGGTTTCCGATACAGGGTGGTGGAAATTTGTCCATCATTTAATTGTACTGTAGTTTCAAGGAAGTGGACTTATGTGGACTGATCCAGGCTGAGGTTGATGGTGGAGTGGAAGCTGTTGAAATCCTTGTGAAATTCTTCAAGGGTCTCTTTCCCATGGGCCCATATGATGAAGATGTCATTGATGTAGCATAAGTAGAGCAAGAGTGTTACGGGGCAAGAGTTGCGGAAACATTTTTTAAGGTGTTGGCATATTGTGGTGCCATGCTGGTGCCCATTACTATGTCGCTGACTTGAAGATACAGATTGTCTCTGAATCGGAAGTAGCTGTGGGTGAGGACAAAGTCGCAGAGCTCTGTAATCAGTAGGGTTGCCAGGTGTCTGGTTTTGAATGACACGGTCCAGTATTTGAGCTTTCTGTTCAGGAAACAAATTGGGGGAAAAATATAAATGAGAAAATATAAATGTCCGGTATTTTCTAAATAAGATGTAATGTCAAGTGTGTCCGGTATTTTTGTTGAAACCATCTGGCAACCCTAGTAATCAGGCTTGCAGTTCTGTCATCAAGGATGGCGTTTCTGATGGCCTGTAATCAGTCTTCATGTGGAATGTTGGTATAAAGGGCTTCTATGTCCATGTTGGCCAGGATGGTATTTTCAGGTAGATTACTGATGTTTTGTAGTTTCCTCAGGAAGTCAGTGGTGGTGCGGAGGTAGCTAGGAGCACTGGTACCACAGGGTCTGAGGAGGGAGTCAATATTGCTAGATAATCCTATTGTAAGTGTCTGAAACTATTTGCTGCTTGGCTTTCTTGGCTATTCACCCCTTTGCGTGATCTCCCTTGACCCACACCCACACCCCTCACCTTACCCAAGACAATACTTAGCCGAAAGCTCCTGGGCATGTTCACACCTTTTGGTCCTAGGTAGGGGTTGATGTTCATGGTTGTTAATGGTTGGGTGAGTGAAAACCTGTGTCTCAGCAGGGGTTTAAATCAACTCCTAACATAGTTCCATTCAGCTCATAACACAAATGTGTGTGTGTGTGTGTGTGTGTGTGTGTGTGTGTGTCTAGAAGACTTTTAAACAATTAAAACACTGAAGTGTGTTGCATCGGACTTTTTTTTACTAATACCATTGGTAGAGGTCTGAAAGTTAATCTTCAGTAACTGAGTATTAAATTCATGTCTGTTCTGGTTGTCTTGTATTTCAGTGACCACAAGGGGAAAATACAAAACACTGAAAAGAGGAAAGAGTTATCATTGGACAAGACAAAATCATCAGTTTGTAAGGAGAATAATCATTCTGGCAAGAATCAAACATTTGAACCAGCCTCAGAAGATTGTAAAAAATCTCCCATATCTGTTAAACGGAAGAAGGAACATAATTTTACAGAGACTAAGCTAAGAAATAAAGATATCCAGTCTCATAATATACATGAAAGTAAAACACATAGCTCCAGTAGTTCTAAAAATACTTCTCAAAGCATCAATCCTGAAGACGCAAAAAGTGACTACAAAGAAACAATCTCTGTTGCCAGTAAAAATCCTTCAGAAAAGCATCATTCCCCTACAGCCAGCAGAAAAGACCTATTGCCAAAAAAAGACTCTTGTAAGGATCTCTCCAAACAGAGAAACTCTGAGGATCCAGGAAAATTAAACCAAACACTTAGTATGAAAAGCAAACCAAAGTTGCCCAGTGATGAGGATTTTGAGCCTCCTACTATGTCTTTTGAATCCTATCTTAATTATGATCAGGTTTCAACTAAAAGAAAGAGGAAGACTTGTCCTACAAGTGAACAGTCAAAAAACAACAAGGGCTGCAACCAGAAGAACTGCTTATTATCACAGAAAAAATCAATATCCCCAGTGACAAAAGAGAGAGCGGAAAAACCACACACATCAGAAGATGATCAGTCAGAAAGTCCCACTAAAAAGGTGAACAATTATTTAGGCAAGCTAATGTGAAGGAAAGCACTAATTTTATTGAGTTAAACAAATTTATGTTCAAAGTTTAATTCAAATTTAAGCCTCAGATTGCATGACTTTGATATATCAGCCACACATGGTTACTAAAAATTGGGAATAATTTTTGACCCAAAGAAATGATTGTAGTTTATTTCTTGGATTAAATGATTAATTATGCCTCCTTGTGCATATGGATTTATGATTGTCTTTAATTATGTGTTAACTGAAGTGATTTTTCTACCGGACTCTGCCTTATTTAGGCCCTGACTCAGGAAAGTGTTCTTACTGTTGAAATCCCTTAAACACATGCTTAATTTTAAGAACACAAAGTCCCATTGGTTTCTGTGGGATTGAAGCATATGTTTCAAGTGTTTATTCTGAGTAGGGATGTGCTTACTGTGTGTCCTTTAATTAGAGATGGATAGGATAATTAGTGCTTAATTAAGGAGGCAGCTGTCCAGTAATTTATCCATGGTCAGTGTGCAGCAGCTCCAAACCCTACTTAGTGCACAAAGTCGAGAACAAACACCAAGTAGAGAAGTGTAAAATTCCTCATGGGCTTTCATCATTGTAAATATCTGATTCTCCTCATCATATCAATTTATCTTCACACTTGAGTGGGAGTAGAAGACTTTCAGAGATTGAGATATGAGTTTAAGAAGGTTTTGAAAATTTTGTGCTTAGTCTTGAGTGATCAGTGATTGGGCACATGCAGGGTCTGACTTTTTTTTTTTTTTTTTAAAGAGTATTACCATATAGAATATCCCACTCCTGTTGTCTTCACTTGCAGTAGTATGTACTTAGCACGTAAGAAAACTCAGGAGCCTGGTGCCTTAGGCTGGGCAGGAACTCACAATTAGTGGCCATCTATGATAACTTTTAACTGAGTCACTTGCCCAGTAAATGTAGAGAGATCACGACTGAAGCAGATGTTAAGTCCCTTTTTTCCAGGTTACATTCAGCTGCTGTATAACTATAAACTATTTCCTCTTCTTGCAATCCCGTCTCATTCACTACATACCTTGCAACTTCTGCAGTGATTTGGACCAACGTCCTCTTGGTGAAAGCCTCATTGACTATGCACTTAAGATTCATTCCTTGAGCCCATGTTATGAATAGATTGTGGCAAGGGTCTTGTGACATTTTGCATTTTTGTACATATTATAATGTTGGATAATGAGTGAATGAATAAAGTGATAATTAATTCAATAGTTATGATGAAGTAATGTGTACAAGTCTAGTTATCTTGAAACATTTGGTTTTGCTTTGGCATTTGATTATGTATTTGAAAATTCCTTAATAGTTAGTGGAGATGAGGAAATTATAACAGTGTTTCCTTGCATGCATGTAGGCAAAGACAGCATCACTCCAAGATCTCCTTCATACTCCACTACCTAAATTGCTACCAGAGATAGCCTTATCTTCTCCCCCCTATTCTATGGAGTTCAAAGGTAAGTAATATGAAAGACTGTTACATGTGAGACTACAATGAGCAGTTAGAGCGGTCCTGATGAAAGTCTTGCACCCTCACAAAAATATGTCCATTTTTTGTGCCAATGCAATACTTTACCTTCTGCATTGGCTCCCTCATAGAAATACACTAGGTTCTGAAGGCAGTATGTAGCCTACAGTTTTAGATTTTCCCAGTTCCACCCACTTGTTCAAGTCCTTGTGGAAGCTGAGCCATCCAGAGAAGACCAGGAAGGGGCTTCCATGGGTGTGGAAGGAGGAGTATGGCACATCTATCCCACTTTCTTTAAGGCTCTGACTCTGTTCTCCATTTATTCTTCACTTCCTTCTGTACCTCCTTCTTGGGGGGATCACTCTGTATTATTTGTGATGAATTGGATCACAAGTCCCCTTGAATGTCACCTGTGTGCTGATCATACCACTAAAGCTATCACCCTGCCCTGCTGGGCCAGAAGCTCTGGTATCCTACAGCAAAGGCACATAGTTGGGGCAACAGCCACCAGCAGAGTAACACAGATCCTGAAGACTGCTTTGGGAGGGCTTAGGTATAGGGACTTGACTGCACCCAGAAGCACAGCTGCGAAAAAGACCAAAACCCCCAATAAATCCACCTTACTCTGTACAAAAGTTTTACACAGAGAAAGTCCCTTATCAATGAGAGATACGCACAGCTGTTATTCCCCCCCAGCTAACCATTATTTACATTTGGTATGATAGTGTTTAAGTATACAAAGTAGAATAAGTAATTGCAAGTGAAAATACAGATAAAACCAAATTACTAACCTAGAATATACAAAACAGGCTAGTTAAGCCTAATACACTAAGAGAAATTGTTAAAAATCATATTTTACCATCCCAGTCCTGGTTTCAGCTCTCACTTGAAGGATTTTACTTGATCTTCTCTCTGGCCTTGCTCTAACAGCTTCTTGTGTACACTCTTAAGGTGGGGAGACTATTTCAGAAGACAGATGAAGATTGTTTATTGATTGTTTTCCAACCCTTAAATAGAACTTCCCTAGTGTGGGAAGTCTGTTAAATTCTCTCCATCCCAATGGGGGGAAAAAAAATCAAATTCAAAACGGGTTCCAGCACCAGGTGGTGTGGTTGCTTGGTTTCTGTAAGATGAACCACAGTTTAAGCTTATAGGACAAACACAACTATTTACAGATAATGGCCCAAATGTTCCAGGCAACTAAGTTTAAGTAGCACTAATGACTTTCACTAGAGGTACGTCTAGACTACATGCCTCTGGCGACAGAGGCATGTAGATTAGGCTACCGGACATATTAAAATGAAGCGGCAATTTAAATAATCGCCGCTTCATTTAAATTTACATGGCTGCCGCGCTGAGCTGACAAACAGCTGATCAGCTGTTAAATCGCCGCTTCATTTTACTATGGCCGGTAGCCTAATCTACATGCCTCTGTCGCCAGAGGCATGTAGTCTAGACGTACCCCTAGGAGTTGTAGATTAATAAACAAATTTACACTTCATATTTCTAACTACAGAGACAAGAATGATGCATGCATACAAATAGAAATTATATAAATAAATATAAATTATTCAGGGGATTACAGGCTCTTGCATTATAGGCTACTTGCTTGGCTTTTCCATAAATCATATTAGTGTTACAAATATTCAAAAACATATTTCCATAAAATAGGAGGATGTAAGGTCACATTAACCAGCCATGTTTGAATAAAATACAGAAACCTGAAGATGGGGCAGCTGTGTAATGGGGCAGCCGTGACAGACACGCTACTCCTTGAATGTGAAGCATGCCATTATTTGAGACTGTGTAGGTGGATGCTGTGTGGGCTTCCCCTGCACAGTTCTACTGAAACTGCCTTCTTGCCTTCAAATATCCCTGCTGCTACAACTACTAGCTTTTCTAGTTTAATTGTTAACTTTACTGACTGCCACACACTTTTGTAAATTAGGCTAATGTTTACAAGAACTAAATACACCACAAATGAAAAATTGACTAATTCAGCTTCTTTAGATAAAAGGTATTAAACTCACTACCTTACCTGAAACCGAATCTTTACTTTAGCTCTGTGTACAATGTCATTAAGTCTTGAGTAAATGTATATCTTCGTAGGGGTGGGGAAACTTTTTTTTTTGGGGGGGGGGACTTTTTTTGGTTTGGTGGCCACTGATCCACAGAAAAATCAATTGGGGGGGCCACCCAGGAGTGAGAAGCAGAAAAAAACCCCAATCTTCAGTGATGTGGTCCTGACTGAGAAGGATGCTTTCCACGTTTTCCTTGCACACTAGAGCTTGGGGGATCCAGTCTAGTAGATTTTGTGTGCTGCAGCCCCATGGAGGGATGGCAGGGGGGATGGAGCACTTGCACAGTGCTCCCGGGTGCTGGGGCGGGGAGGAAGTTCTGAGTCTTGGGGGTGAGATACAGGCAAGCCTTAGGTTCCCCACCCCTGTTGTATTGCAATAAAAATGAATTGCATGTTTTTTCTACCAGTCATGTTTCTCAATGAGTTAATTATACTTCTTCACAAAATTAGATAGCTTTGAACATTCTTAAAGAACTGCAGTATTAATCTGAGTATACATGGGCAAAATACTTCTTTGAGATTTGTTCTGTTTTGTAATGTCTGTAGTACCAGTCATGGAAGCACCCCCACAAACGAGTGATACAAATCAGTTCACCGGACGGAGATTGAACTCTAAAATGCAGGTTTACTCTGGCTCTAAAACAGTCTATCTTGCAAAGATGCTAACGCTGTATGAACAGTGCATCCGCGTACTTCAAAATAACATTGATTGTAAGTACTTTAATGTGGGTTTCAGCAGATTGAGTGACATTATAGCACTGGGCTTTCAGTAGTGTAAAACAATCTTGTGTTTCATATGAAGTCCCAACTTCACATTAAACTGTGATGCCATGGTAATATAAAAATCATGAAACAAAAGCTCAAACAGGCAGTCTTGCTTTTTTCTCTCTAAATCCTGCTAGTCTCATGTTAAAACTGCATTAAACATGCTATAATCTCAGATGTTTTTATACAAACCAGGGATGAGCTGTCAAGAAAATACTTAGATACAAAGGGTGAATGTGCATGCCAACTTGCATGTGAACATTCCAGGTTTGGTGTCTATCCAGGAGGAGACAATGAGGGAGAGGGGAATGGGTGGAAATGATGAAATGGGTAGACAAGGATGTATACTACCTTTTCCTCAGACTACCACTTCAGTGGCCAGTACAGAACCGCTCATCTACAAACCATAGAATACTAGAACTGGAAGGCGCCTTGAGAGGCTCCTTCCCTCACTACAGGACCAAGTATTATCTAAATCAGGGGTGGGCAAGAGGTGGCTTGTGGGCCAAATCTGGCCTGCCAGGCCACCAGATCCAGCCCGTGGCTGTCTAACTGCCACTCTTACTAAAGAGCAGCTGCTCCTGCTTTAAACAGCAGGCTAAGTGTTTTGAAAACTGGCCAGGAAGGAGAGAGCTTTGTGTGATGTCCCTGCTCCTTAGCAAAATCCCCCAGCTCCCATTGGCCAGTTTCTGGCCAATAGGAGATCAGAAATTTTGCTGAAGGTAAGGGCAGTGAATGAAGCCTCCTCCATCCTCCCTCAATATGCTGGAGCAGAGCCACATGGAACAATTTGTCCAGCACACACAGGGTTCCTACAGGTAAGCACCTCTCAGACAGAGCCTGCTTCTGCCCTCCCCCTTTCTTCCCAACTGCCTTCCCCAGGCCACTACCCAAACCCTCTGCACCCCTTTTCCCCACCTCCTTCAAGTCACAACTCTGTCCCAGACCCTCCACTCCCTCCCACACCCCTTCCCCATGCCAGAATCCTCTTCTACAGTCAAGCCAGCCCAAGCTACAGGCTGACTGGGCTACCACCTGGGGTGCCCCATTATAGGAGGTGCCACACAGGGCTGCCGGATCAGGCGGGGGCGGGGCCGCGCACCCAGAGGCGGGGCCGCGCATGTGCTGCACTCTTGGGGCCCGGGGCGCGTGAATGGCTCGGGCCAGCCCTGCCTACAGTCATATCCTTCCTGGACCCTGCATCCCAAGTACCTGATCCAGATCATAACTTCCTCTTTTACCCCCCATTAAAAATTATTGCCCACCCCTGATCTAGATCATTCTTGATAGAAGTCTATCTAACCTGCTCTTAAATGTCTCCAGTGTTGGAGATTCCAGCCATTAGATTGTCCAGATTTCAAAACATGTTCAGCTGGTATTTATTAACCTGATTATTTATAATACTGTTTTGTAAATGGTGAAATGAAGCTTATTGGATACATATTGATGGGATACTTACAATATTGTTTTGCTTTGTAGCATTGCATGAAGTAGGAGGGGTTCCCTTTGAAATTCTTGAGCCTGTGCTAACACGTTGTACACCAGAGCAGTTGTTTCGAATAGAGGAGTGCAATCCGGTAATTTCTCATTAAATGCCTTGGCTCCTATTTTGTGACTGTTCATGTGACTTTGATTTTCAACACAGGCAAACTACAAAAAAATTGTGAAGTCTTCACTTTCCCCTCAGGAATAGTTCACAAACTGATCAACACTGTACAAGCCTGTGCTAACACGTTGTACACCAGAGCAGTTGTTTCGAATAGAGGAGTGCAATCCGGTAATTTCTCATTAAATGCCTTGGCTCCTATTTTGTGACTGTTCATGTGACTTTGATTTTCAACACAGGCAAACTACAAAAAAATTGTGAAGTCTTCACTTTCCCCTCAGGAATAGTTCACAAACTGATCAACACTGTACAT